AAAAAGGTGAATGGTAAAGCTATAAGCCTTTTATAACATAATGTAGGAGAATTTTTCTCATCAGAGTTGGAAAGAGTTCTTAAATAGGAAAAAAACTAACTATAAATGAAAATGTTTTTAGATTAAATTAAAATTAAGGCTTCTTTTTATCAATAGACATCAAATCAAAGTAGAAGAAGATATTTACAACACAAAACTGACAAAGGAATAGTATTTAAAATATGTAAAGAACTTTTAGAATCAATAAGAAAAAGGCAGGTGACCCAATAGAATAATAGGTAAAGCCTAAAATAGAAACTTCACAAAAGAAATACAAATGACCAATAAACACATGAATATATGTCCAACCTCATTAGTAATTAAGGGAATTCATATTAAAGCTACCCATCAGAGCGGGGAAAAAAATGTAAAGTGTAAGAATACAGAGCAACAAACAATCTCATCTGTTAGTGGTGGGAGTGTAAATTTACACAATCATTTTGAAAATAATTGGCAACATCTATTACAGTGAAGATAAACATACCCTGTGATCCAGTTATTTAATTCGGGGTCATAGCCCCTAAGGAAACTCCTGCACATGTATAATGAAGGATGTGTACTGTGCCAGTTTTCATAGTAGCCAAAAACTAGAAAGAACTCAAGTTGCCATCAAGAGCAGATCAGATAAATACATCGTAGCATATTCCCACAATGAATGGATATAATGAAAATGGGTGAACAACAGTCTACACATCAACATGGATGGATTTCAAAAACATGATGTTCAGCTAAAGAAGCAAGATACAAGCTAATGCAGAACACATAACTTAAAGTTGAAATTAAACCATATTGTTTAGACATGTATGCACAGGTGGTCCAATTATAAGTAGCAAGAAAATTATGGAAACAGACCAAAAGAGTGGTTGCTTCAGGGCTTGGGGAAAGAGAGATGTGATGAGACAGGCAACGGGGCCCTTCTGGGGCACGCAATGTCCTTGACCTATGTGGTGATTATGAGATGTTCATCTTATGTATGTACGCTCTATACACTCTACTTAAAAATATTTCCTGTTTAAAGGCAAATTTGTTTTAATTTATTTTCTTTATCATTTGGGAATTAGGTTACACTGATTGCATTCATAAAGTTTTAAAGGTGAATTTTAAAAATAATTACAGCTCTTTCCTTCTATTGATTCCTTTCTAAACGTGAGGTGAAGCTCTAACTTGCTTTATTTTTCCACAATATCTCTTTGTCCCTATACCATCTGTTGACTAGCATATCTCTTACCCATCACTTTATAATGGCATCTTAATCACTCTTCTTTTTCTAAGTTCCAGTATCCTTCTGCCCAGTCTATTCTGTTTCACTGATGGACCTTTCCACCCCATGGCACCATTCACTATTACTCCCATCATGACTATTTCTATAATTACACAGGTTCTCTCTCTGTGCAAATCTTAATGTTTGAACTGGTTTAAAATCTAAAACCACAACCCAAACTCCAATGATTCTGCAAGTCTTTTTGTGTCCTCCTCCTTAAAGCATGCTTTTCTATTTGGCTTTCAGTTTTTTCTACCCATGGGAAACACAAAAATGTATAAACTACAACTTTGTTCACCCAAGTTTTCAATATTCTATACACCTCGCAGCATGCCTCCTACCCAAGGACAGAGCTGACAGTGGGAGCGAGACTCAGTCTTGGGCTTTGAGGGACTGGGACCCCGTGGAATACACAGAATCAAAGGCAGGAACAAGATGGAAAGCCACCTGTTGATGAGAGAATCAATCACCCTCCTCAAAGGGATTTGCTCTGTGTGTGTTTTTTTCTCTTTCATTCCTGTGGATGCAGACAGGATATTGAACAGCAGCTGGGCTCCTTGATCTTGGCAACAGACATCAACAGGCAGAATGAATTTCTGACCAGATTGAAAGCTCACCTCCACAATAAAGACTTAAGACTGGAGGAAGCACACGACAGGCACTTCATGCTTCAGGTAAATGACAACAACAACGGCAACAGCAAAAAAAACATTATCCTTGCTGAGCAAAAACACTTAGGAGATAATCAATAATGTTAGTGCATTTGAAAAAGGGTTATCTTCCATGGTATAAATTAAGGCAATGAGCTATTTTATTAAAAAGCTTTGAGATGCATGAAATTGAAATTTTAAGTGGGTTACAAGCAAGCAAAGTCTGGGTTTCAGGGCAGTAAGTTGATAGAATCTCGTTTTTCCCTGTTCGGTAACTGCTGCACTACAGAGTAGCCACACAGGGTGGCTGCGTGAGGCGAAGGTCTACCCCATTTTGTGGTTTGGTGTAAAGTTGACCCCTGTGACACCTGTGCAACTTTCCATGACTCTCTCTGTAACACAGAAGTATTTTATGTTAACTATAATACAAACAAAAATTGGGGAAAACGTGGACTTCCTTTACCTAAAACAGATTTAATCAAACCCTGCTTTACTTCCTTTTACTTCCTAAACTATTTCCACCTGAGGCTTAACCATGTTTACCTAGCCTTGCCATTTTTAGGCAGCAATAAGTACATCCTTTTAAATTGAATTGAATTGAATTGAATTGAACTGAACTGAACTGAATCAAGCCCAAGCCCTGCTGCTTTGCTCTGCGGCAGGAAGCCACTGGTGAGGAGAAATCACATCAGGCGCAGAGTGGACCTTACAAATAGAAGTCTGATCTGACATCCAAACCAGGGTCTCCTTCCTGAGCTTCCATTTTCTCTCGTCTTCTTTCTTTCCTTTTGTTACGCAAGACTGAATGGAGGGAGCCTGGACTCATCTAGATAGACCAGCCATAACCCCAGAGACAGAGCTGCCCATGGAGGTGCAACTGGCCAGTCTTTTTTGGTCCAGGCTTTCCTGCTGTCCTCTTTAGCTGTCCAAAGTGCTCCATCCTTCCTAGGAAATACTCCACTCCCAGCTATAGAACCATGACTCCCTCCTCCTTGCCTCCCAAACGAGTCTTCTAGTCCCTGAGCGAGTACCACAGAGATCAACCTGGTGTCTGATTTGAGTGACTCAAGCCAAGTTGTAAGTAGTTGAAAGATTTGGCCTTTTGATACTTCAAAAGGAAGGCTTACTAATCAAATGCATCCCTCAAGGCAGAACTCTCTAACCAGGAAATAAATGTAAACAACCAAACATGCAGCTTAATGTGATCCAAGGCTCTTGGGGACCCCAACATTGCTAGCTGTTCTGTGATCCCAAGGACTCGGGTAAAAATTATGGACATTGATTGTGGGCAGTCTCTCGGAAGCAGTTGGTGGCTAAAAGGAAGAAGCAGCTTCTCCGGGTGTTCCAGGACCCTCATACAGTCATTATCACTGACAAAAGCTGATATCCCAGATCCAGAGCAGTGTCCAGGAAGCCATGAAGGCCCCAATTTAGCTGTACAAACAGAATGCAGCTAGGTTTGATCTGGCTTAGCTCCCAGGCAGCTTAGAAGCACAGGCGCAGTCATGTAATTTAAGAGATGTATGAGACCAGTCATTGTGCCTACTGTGAGAGTGAGGTCCAGATGATCTCAGCAGAGCCTGGGCAGAGGCGGGTACAGCCTTCCTTCCTGTGAGGGGTGAGGCACCCAAAGGAGCCCCCTGGCTTTCCTTGGCCTGCCCCTCCCCCAGGAAGTCCCCTCCGGGTAACGTGTCCTTGGACTGTGGTTCTTCCTTCCTTCTCACTGCTCCAAAGCCGCCACTCAGAATGAAGACTTTGTGTGGCTGTAAAAAAGTACTGTTTCCTGAAGAAGCAGCTTAGGGAGGCCCTCTCTAAGTGCAGGCCTGGTACCAGGAGGGGGTCACAGGTTTGACAGCCCCTATGGCGTGGGGTGCATTTGCAGCTGAAGAAGCATCTCTGACAACCTCTCCCCACCCCATCCTTTCTCAGATCGCCTTGAAGTGTGCTGACATTTGCAACCCTTGCAGAATCTGGGAGATGAGCAAGCAATGGAGTGAAAGGGTCTGTGAAGAATTCTACAGGCAAGGTTAGTAGTGACCCGACAGCTGAGATTTTGCTGCCCGTTCTGCTTGTAGCATTTATCCTAATAAAACAGGAAATGGCTAATCTAGCCTGACATTCCTTCTTTCATCAACCCTTATTATCCTAACCTTCTCTTTAACTCTCTTGCAAACTCTCCAACCCTTTTTTGGAAAAAAAATTTTAGCATGAATAGTGTTGACTTATTATAGAAAGAGGTAGTAAAGAGGCACAATAAAAACAGAGAAGGCAGGGCGTGTGTCAATGTGGCTTTTCCCTGTGTACGTCCAAATGCGAGGGATGTACAGTTTGATTTAACTCTGACCTTTATTTGAAAGAGCTGAGCACAGCCCAAAGGATAAATGCTGTTCAAGGTCAATGTTGTCCAATGACAGGACTTGGACTCCTTGTGTGTTCCTTCTCACGTTCTTAAACAAAGTTAATAATGAAACTGAACACAGCTGAGTTCATCCTTTCAAATAGACTTTCAACAGTGAGGTAAAGAAATTTTGCTGTAAAAAGACAAATGGGGACGGTTTTTAAAAGATTATCGTCATTCAGAAATAAGGCAATGAATTAGCAAGTAGAACCTTGACGTTGGGTGGGATTTGGACTTTAAATACAGCCTTGTTTCCCCAGGCTTGGTTTCAATGTCCGGGATGTTTGCTCAGGCATCAGCAGTGCCCTCATGCTAGTGACAGGATCAGGTTTGAGAGGCTGAGAACAAATAAAGCTTGAAGTGTCCCACATACCAGCTCTGTGGGGAGGTCAAACAGCAACAGTGAGCCTTTTGGAGGAGGCTCCATTGAAAGATGTGTCAATGACATCGTGATGGCCCAAAAAACAGAAAAGGAATTGATTGAGTTCAGGCGGGGCCAGAAGGCTCTGCTCACCACCTCTTTGTCTCAGAATAAAAGTGCTCACATAATTCCTACTGCTCTGTGTAATTTCACTTGAATTGAGCGCCAGTGGTTAGAAATCAAAACAGCAGTTCTAGCTGTTCATAATATAAAATCTCCACTGAGGGCAAAACAAAAGGATATGTGATGAAATTAGAGGAAGGAGGTTTTAAATTAGATACAATACTTTTCTGTGTGATTCATAAAATATTGCAATAGTACAGTGAAAGAGGGGCCAAGATCTCCATTCACGGAAATCAGACAAGATTTCCAGGGACAGAGAACAGAATCTGCTCTTTGCCACTTGGCTTCGACTCTACTGCACGCTACTGTTGGCATCAGTTGTCACCTAAACTTTTTATTTACTCATCAGACAGCAAAGTGATTCTGAGCAACTTAGGGCGGGGACCGTGTCACTTAGGAAGATAGGAAGACCCACACAGTTAGTAAATCAAAGTTGTTGACTGTGAAAATGTCATCAACCGAGAAAGTTCACCCATAAGACCTCTCTGCAAAAACTTCTTGTTGTCCTAATGATATATGCACATGCAGTATTATAAGATGGAAAACTTAGAACATTTGTAACTCTGATCACTAAAGATGAGCTTTCATGCACTATTCTCTGGTGTGTTTCCCGGCAGAGGAAGAATAGAAAGGGCAGACCAAGTCCATTTTATCTAATAACCTTATGATCTAGCAGAAGTTTTGCCCATTTTAAGAAAAGACCAGACTCTGATCATCCAAACTGCCTGTCCTCCCTACTGATTATATTTAATTCTTTATTGATGACTTACAGCATTTTAATTAATCTTATTCTGGATTTTAGTTTAGGATTAAGATTCAAATCCCAGCTCATTCTAGCCACCTCCTAATGGGTGGGCTTCCACAGACTACTAACAGTCCTGGATAAAGTACCTTTAACATGATTTATGATTGTGAGCAATCACAAATACTTAATTTTGAAAACAAGATTAAGTCTATAGGGAGAAAAGAAAATGAGATCCCATGAATTAGGAAAACTGTTACATTCTCAGAACAGAGATTAGGATTCCAAACACCAGGTGCCTCCCACCCCACCACCCCCAACACCTTAAAAAAACTGGATTTCTGTCCTCTTGTAGCTTTTATTGAACATCTGCTTCCAGCCTTGTCTAATTCTCAGCAAAACTGTGATTTCCCTACATACAAAGCCCCACTGGGGATGTTTCGAAGAAGTACTGTTAGTTTATGCTTGGTATATTCGGGGAAGTACAGTTAGCTTAAGCTTTGTACTCTCAAAACAGTCATCAGTAAAGTTTCTGGAAGGAGGAAACTATGGGTTTTCCTCTGTGTGTTCTCTACACTGGTTAGCAAAGTGTCTGAAACATACAGGCGCTTTATACATTCTGTTGAATGAGTGAATGAACAAACGATCTGACTAGAAGATTTCCAACCATAGAGGTCACAGGAGAAGATCCAGTGCTGTGTGAGGTGGGATCTGAGGACACGCACCACTCCACACATTCCAATATGTGGAGGCACAGCGGACTAGTGAAATTCCAACTACTTAAAATTTAATGAAATGGAAATTTTAGTTCCTCAGTTTTATTGATCATATTTCAAGGGGCTGCCATAGTGGGCAATGCAGAGAACATCTCCATTATTCCAGAAAGCCCTACTGGACGGTGCTGGCCTAGACAGAGGGAAATAGACAAGCAATGAGGTGGGGACAGACCCTGCTTCCTAGACCAGCTCTGTCTCGTACATGGTGAGAACAAGAGGGTGTGGAGGCCCCCAGATGCCAGGCTAAAGTGGAGAACATGACAATGGGAGTCTTCCTAGAAAATGCATTTAGAGCAACATATACAGCTGAAGTGAAAGAAGAATTGGAGGAAGAAAACCAGGGAAGAGCAAAAACTAAGAATGAATTATTAAGAAAAAAGACCAGGGCCAGAAAGAATGAAAAGGGGGACTTGAGGTCGTCCAGAAGAGAAAGATATAGGACCGATGTCTCAAGATGGAGGAAAGGGAGAAATCAAGGGATGACTCCTCCAAAGTGTTAACGGAATATGGAGGTAAGGAGAGGAAATGGCTTTAGGAAAATTCAATTTAATATTACATAGTGCCCTGCCCTCCCTCAGAAAGCCATGGTCATCAGGACTTGGGGAAGCAATGCAGACAGCCTCCCTGACCACCTCGGGTTAAACTGGAGTGATTGTCTCATGGCAGTCTTGAAAATCACCAGGGTATAAGAGGCCACAAGAGGCATGTTACAGTCTTAAAGAAAATGGCAGAAATGTGGCCTCTCGACGCCCTAGCTCAGTGACTAAGTACAAACTTCCTAGGTTGGAATCCAGGCTCCCCTCTTTACTGGCTGTGTGACCTTGGGTCAACATACTTAGCCTTCCCTGTGTTTCAGTTTCCTTATCTATAAAATGGAAGTTATAATGAGGTTGCTATAAGGATTAAATTAATTAACATATATAAGGTGCCTGGAACAGTTCCTGGCACATAGTAAGTTCCATATACATGTGATAGTTTTATCTCTGCAAGTTTAGGGGAGTAGACTTACAACCATGAGCCTAGCTAATGTTTCTGAAGAAGTTTCTCTACTGATTAATCATATTGTTTTTTACAACAAAAAAACATCTGTGATAGTTTTACCCTCAGGAAGGACTGATAAAGTACATTGATAAAGCTTTGCATGATGTATTTCTCATTTGGTCTTCTAGCTGACAAAGGCATTAAAAAGAAATATTGTTCTAACCTTTATACTTTTTTTACCTTTCAGTTACATTGGGTAAAATTCTAAGGAATAAGAATGAAATACACCAGACTCTTATTTCTGATTAGTTTTGTAGCTACAGACCAAGGTGTTGCTCAAATGAGATCTGTCTAGCCCAGTGTTTTCAGCCCTTCGTAACTCACAGCACACTTAAACCTATAGTTAAACTTTCACGGCACACTTAAATAATGTCGATCCAAAAAAAAAAAAGAGTAGAAAAAGAATATACTTCCTATGCTTTGAACTCCTTTCGAAAATAATTTAATTAGTGATCTTTAAAAATTTTCGCAGCACACCTAGTATCTTCTCACCGCACACCAGTTGCAAATCCCTGTTCTAGTCCTTCTAATCTACCCCATTTCCTCCCTACTCACTATTCCTGGTTGTTCTCGGGTGAAACCAGATTAATGTCAGGCAGCATGAAAGCAGAAAAGGAAGGAGGAAGGGAAGATGAAACCTGTTTCTGCAATTTGTAACTTAAAGACAGAACTTCTGGACTCGGCGCCTGTGGCTCAAGCCGCTAAGGCGCCAGCCACGTACACCTAAGGTGGCAGGTTCGAATCCCCAGCCCGGGCCCGCCAAACAACAATGATGGCTGCAACCAAAAAATGG